TATACATATGATATATACATACTTATATAACTGTTGCATTTAAGACCTTTATGAAAAATATTTGAGTACCATGAAAAATTGAGTCTTGTCAGAGAATCATTTCCTCGGATAGAGAAACATACAAGGTGATGTGTGCTGGCCAGTTCCTGCATCCTTCACTTCCAATGTGGGTAGACATTTCCATACCCATGCCAATGAGGCCATTCTCAATCATCTTTGCCTATGATTTTTGACAGAGGTGTCATTCCCTTTATTATGGAACTATTGTTAATTCATCAACATAGAAGCCATGATTAAAATATGCCCGTGAGCCTATGTTATTTTAATAAATCCTAAGATGTCAATGAAAAATATTCAACTTTTTCTTTAACATTTTTGATGAAGAAACACACTTCAGAAATGCAAGGAGGGATCACTATGGATACCACTGTATGCTAGAGACCACATAGGACCTCCTTCTGGGAGGAAGGGAAACAATAGACTAGATGACAAGAGGCTATCTCCCAAGGGAGAGGGGGCCCAATGGACCATGGTAGAAGACTATGGGTGCCTTGGTGCTGGGTGTGGTATGATAACATACACATGAAGAGGTGGGATCATATTTTTCTGAAGCATATATAGTCTTGTAGACCAATGCTACCTTAATATAAGTAAATAAATAAGCAGCATATCTCCCAGGGGTCAAAACAGCATATGTGTATTGTTTTTCCCTCTTATCCCAAGAAAATTGAATTTCTCTGGAATTAGAGAGACAAAAGAAAACCTCATTAAGGAGGGTCATGGGAATCCAGCCTCTAAAGTCAGAGAAACCAGGCCTCCCCAGTGGTGCAGCGGGTTGAACACAGCTCTGTGAAGCTGTCCGCAGCTTCTGCAGCATGGGTTCAATTCCTGGCAAGCCAGGGAGATTCCCACATGGCATGGCAGACCTCTCCTGTTGGACCCACTGCTCCCCTCAAAAGTGCTCTCTGTCTGTCTGCTTGTTCTTCTCCCCACTGTCTCTGGTGAATCCGCTCACCCTCCCACATCTCTGGCCTATACCCCAGCTATTGTATAAATAATAAATAAATCTTAAAAAAAATAAATTCACATAAACTATGTTCCCACTGTGTCCTCTTAAGTCTGCTTTACCAATTTCAGGTGATGAGAAAGCACAACAGTCCAGGGGTCATGAGTGAACCCATCTGCCTGGACTTCCTGAAGACAGAACTTCCAACTTCACCTATCAGCCAAGAAAGAATCTGGGTTAGTGAGTTCAGACTCTTCCCAAACAACTTCTGGGTGAGCACAGCATCTTCACAGGTGCTGGGGGATGTGGAATGGTACAAGGGATTATTTCTTGGCATTAACTTTGGTGGAGTAAATATAGAGAGCTACAGAAGGGAAATGTAATGATACAAAACCTTTCAAATTAGCATCTGTGATTCTGATGGGAGATTCTAAATATACTTAGATAACTTGTACTTTTTTTTTCAATTTTTCTCCTCGGGTTTTGGCTGTCAATTATGGGGCTTCCCTCCATCCATCAGCAGCATTCCCTTACTGCTTCTAACTCTTTCCCACTGATGAAAATATTTAACATCCCATAAAAAAGTAATATTTACTATTTAATGCTGGTAGGCAGTACATTTCTCTGTTGAAGAAAAGAGTAAGATGTTCCATATTTTCTCAAGGGACACACAGTTTAAACCATGGAAAGGGTCATGGAAATAGAGACAAGTTCCTGATATGGCACTGAAATCCTGTTGATGTGCATCCAAAAGATGTTGACTTAATTTGGGGAGATTAGATGAAAGCTTTGCAGGCAAGCTTAAAACAGTAATCAAGGACTGGTACTTGAAGTAGCTGTGGAAATCTTCCTGTGAATAAAGGGTAAGAGCCAACAGAGAAATAAATGTAAGGACTTATTAAGGTATAGAGTATGTGTATTTATTAAGGATAAAGTAAGGTGTGCATGGGAAATGACAAGAAGTTCTTGCTATGAGATCAATAATGGGGGCAGGGCGTAAAAAGTTGAACAGGAGTTGGACCAGGGAGGCAACAGGCAGAGAACAGAGATGTATGTCTTGGTTAATGCATTGCTACTTAATTTTGCAATTAGTGGAGTTAGTGTAGGATGCTTAGCAAATGGGACCCAAGATCAGATCCACTGAAAAATCACCCATCTCATTGTGACCAACAGAGTGTTGTCTATGTCCATGCCCTATAGAGAGGAGTAGCAGAAATCACAGTCTCGGTTGGTGGGAGATGAGGAATGACTCTATGAGCTGTGGAGACTTGTATGCAAAAATTCACTGATAAATGCTAGGCACAGGTGAGCATTTTATTCTCATTATTTTATTTAATTATTGTGATAAATCAATATATTTGATGTTGTAATTCCTATTTTATGGATAAAGAGTATGAGACTTACAGCTATGATTTTCATGTCCAAGGCATGCAATGAATTTGGAGTTAATTTCAGGCCTTGATATTTTCAAGGTGTTTATTCTTTCTAATATTTTTCAGATACAATAAAGATAACAATAAATCATGAAAACAAATTTTAAGAATAAACTTTACAAAATCTCTCAGAAGGTGCAAAGTTTCCATAAAGTCCATACCCAACTTACCCTATTGATTGTCTCTCAGCCAGAATACACATTACATTTATCATCATTTCTCCTTGGGATCCCCTAGGCTGTCGCAGTTAATTATAATTTCCTTGTTTCAATGAGCTTGAATGGTTTGAGAACTGGTCAGGTATTTTTCTAAAATATCCATGAATTTGCTTTTTCCCAAGGCTTTCCTCATAGTTTACTGAAATTATGGCTTTAGGGAAGAAGACAATAAATCTGCTAAAGTATTGTATCCTGCCTTATAAATGGGTGCATGCTATCAATAGGACTTACTGCTATTCATTGTAACATTGATTACCTCCCTGAATATGTTAGAATCCTTCATGATGAAGCAAAAATATATTATTGAGCAAATGAATATAATAAAGATTCCAGCAGACCTTCAAGCCCAGTTGCAATGAACACCCCAACGCAGGCATAATCTACAAGTTTGCTTACTTACAGCTCCTTCCCTTTCAAGATTCATGACTAGGGCCTCAGCACTCTTATCTACAAGGTCAGGCAGCTGGCCAAGCTGTTGTCTCTCTCCAAGGCCATCCCCGAATGCTTGCATCTTTCCCCCCTTTCCTTTCTTCCCTTGTCTGGGGACTTTGCCGCAAATGGTTGTGTCTGCTGAAAAATGATGTTATCAATGTAACAGCTATGAAGACAGTTATGTATAAAAGGAACCCTTGGTCTTTAAACTGGTGCTCAGACCTTCCAGGGCTTAACCAGGTCTGGGACCTCATGCATGAGTAATAAAATTTCTCCTGAACTCACCATTCCTGAAGTACCACTTGTTCTTCCACTGCCTGGGTAAAAGGCTAGAATTCATTTCTACAACAATGGTATTGCTACTTAATTCTGCAATTATTATTCAAACTGTCCTTTGTAAGGAAGTTATCATGTAAACCCACACTTCAAGAAAAGGCAATTAGGGGGCCTCCCCGGTGGCGCAGCGGTTGAGCGCTGGGTTGCAAAGCTGCCCGCAGCCTCCGCAGCGCCAGTTTGATCCCCGGCTGCTCCCTGGCCACTGGAGGAGGGTCCCAAATGGCGTGCAGACTTCTGCCGCCCGCTGCTCCCCTCAGCAGTGTACTTCGGTCCTTCTGCCTGCTCTGCTCCCCGCTCTGGCTCTGGTGAATTCTCTCACCCTCCCACGCTTCTGACTGTACCCAGTGCTTGTATAAATAATAAATAAATAAATCTTTAAAAAAAAAAGGCAATTAGGGCCTCCCTGGTGGCGCAAGGGGTTAAGAAGCAAACTATGAAGCTGACTGCAGCCACTGCAGCATGAGTTAGATTCCCGGCTGGCCAGGGAGCAACCCACATGGCACAGCAGACCTCTCCTGTCTCATTCGCTGTTCCTCTCAGCAGTGTATTTCAGTCAATCTGCCTGTTCTGTTCCCCACTCTGTCCCTGGTGAACGCTTTCACCACCCCCCCACACCTCTGGCCTGTAGCCCAGTTCTTGTATGCATAAATAAAATAAATCTTTAAAAGAAAAAAAAAGAAAAGGCAATTATTTCCCATCTCTTTGAGAATGAAATCTACATAAATGATAGGATCTTAGCCTGAGAGATTTGTCTCTATTTTTATGCATTTTGATTACTTAACATTTACTTTTTAATAAGTTAATTGATTTACTATCGCTTTTTTATATAATCATGGGATCGTAGATATTTTAATATCTTTTTATACTCTAACACCACTTTATTTTGCTGCTCAAGTGTTCTGACAGATACCTTCTATGTCCCTTTGGTCTATTTCTATCATGCAGGGTTGTGTGTTTGCTATTTCTGGCACAGCAAGATGCCCCAGGCTCATTTGATATATCTCCTGGTCCAGACCTAGAGTGGTTAAACAATGGTTCTTTAATACTCCACATCTGCATTGAACTGCATTGTTTTACACAATAAAATAATTACTAATTATTGTTCATTTATTTACTGATATTTCACCTCACTAGATACTTAACTAGTAAGAAAATTGATAAGGGTTAGGATTTTGAAAATTAATTTCATTGCATTTCCCAGTGGATTAAGCAATACTTGGAAAAAGTAAACATTTAAGACAATTTACAGAACAAGAAAAACAAAAAAAAAATACGTAAAATAAAATTTTAAAAAATAAATGAAATTGAATAATGAAAAAAAAGCATACACACAGAGAAGATTGTGCCTTTGAAAATGTTTGGATTAGATATGAGGATATCATTTTCAACAGCTAGAGGATTTGTAACATTTATAATTCAGAAATTTTTGAGTTGCAGACACTAGTTCCATAGATAATACAAAGTGGTATTAATATTTTTTAAATAAAATAAGCTCATTTGTGTTAACTCAATGATTAATGTCTGTGTCTAAATTTACATTATCATAGTGTCCATTCCAGCGGTTTCATCAGCTACATGGAATCTGGAAACCAAACTCGTATATCAGAATTTATCCTACTAGGACTTTCAGAAGAAGCAGAGTTGCAGTCTCTCCTATTTTGGTTGTTTCTGTCTATGTACCTGATTACCTTCATTGGAAATCTTCTCATCATCCTGGCCATAATCACTGACTCCCACCTCCACACCCCTATGTACTTCTTTCTCTCCAACCTGTCTTTTACTGACATCTGTTTCATCTCTACCACTGTCCCAAAGATGCTGTTGAACATGCAGATGCAGAGCAAAGTCATTACCTATGAAGGCTGCCTCAGCCAGATGATGTTTTCCGTGCTTTTTGGAGGCGTTGACAACTTTATCTTGACAGTGATGGCCTATGATCGGTTTGTAGCCATCTGCCACCCCCTGCACTACATGGTCATCATGAACCCCAAGTTCTGTGGTGCCCTGCTCCTTGCCTCCTGGTTACTGAATGTTCTGGATTCTCTATTACACGGTTTAATGGCTTTGCAGCTGTCTTTTTGTACACAACTTGAAATCCCTCACTTTTTCTGTGAACTTAATCAGGTGATCCAACTTGCTTGTTCTGACACCTTCGTTAATGAGCTACTTGTGTATTTTGCAACAGGACTTCTGGGTATCATCCCTCTCACTGGTATTCTTTTTTCTTACTCTAAGATTGTAACCTCTGTTTTGAGAATCTCATCAGCTAGTGGCAAGTATAAAGCCTTTTCCACTTGTGGGTCTCACCTCTCAGTTGTCTCCTTGTTCTATGGCACGGGACTTGGAGTGTATCTCAGTTCTGCTGTTACTGAAAACTCCAGGAACACTGCAATAGCATCAGTGATGTACACCGTGGTCACACCCATGATGAACCCCTTCATCTACAGTCTGAGGAACAAGGACATAAAGCAGGCCCTTGTTAAACTCTTCAGATGGGAAACAGCCCTGACATGATAGGATCACTGCCTTAGGATTCCATGCTTAGAAGCAGCAGGGTTCAAAGAACTTCAAGAATGAAATCATGAGCTTTATCAGAAAATGCTAGATAATATGGCATTTACCTTGTATATGTAGTTTGCTCTCTTATTTTTTAATACATGATAAAAAAATTTTGTATTTCCCTAATAATTTTAGCTTATATTCAATACAGAATAAAAATAATTTGTCATGTGAATTGTATTCAGTAAAATATTTAATACAGGAAAATGGAGTACTTATAAAATTATTAGGAGAAATGCAGTAATAAAGATGTAATGAAATGATTTCCAGACAAAAAGAACCTATTCCTGGATTATACAGAGATAAAGCATCAAAGTCTATGTGTGCACCAAGGTTTATGGTAAACAATTTAAAAAAAAAATAAAAATAAATAAATATATATATATATATGAAACTGGAATTGCCATCAGATTAAATTTACATTAATCCATATTCATACATCAATACAAAGTATCTCTTTAATGTGATAAAATTCATTATCTCTGTTGCAGCATTCGAGCTGTTATGAAAACCTATGATTCCTCAAGATATGCATTTTTGCTTTCTTTTAATCTTTTAATCACCAAAACACATTCAGACCTCCCTCAGCATTTTGTATCCTGATTCAATATATTCACTGATCATAAATCTGCACTTTACAATAGAAACTGAAATTCATTTTGAATTGAACCCTATGGAATTCAAAATTCAATCAACTATCTAAAGAAAGATTTTAAATGTCTTCCTTTCGTCTAGCTGGATGGAATCCAGAGTTTCTGATAATGTGTCTTTTCAGTATATTTGGTTTACTCTAAAATTCTTTTCCTTATTCCATGGAGGAGGAATAGTAGAATTTACTCTCACTCATATTTTTCCAGTTTTGTTTTTACAATAGAAACAAACATCTTGCTGCTCTGTGGTCTATTCTGGATTTCTATTTCTTCCCTATTCAGGTGATAGTACAATTATTTTTTTTTCCATTTCTTTGAATAATGTCATTTAAATTTTTATTGGAATAGTGTTGAATCTGTAAATTGCTTTTGGTAGGATGGCCATTTTGATAATGTTAATTCTTCCAATCCATGAGCAGGGGATGTCTTTCCACTTCTTTGTGTCTTCTCCTATTTCTTTTAACAGTGTTTTATAGTTTTCTATGTATAGGTCCTTTACCTCTTTTGTTAGGTTTATTCTCAAGTATTTGATTTTTTTTTGTTTCAATAATAAAAGGGATGGTTTTCTTAATTTCTTCTTCAGAGTTATTGTTTGTGTATAGGAAGGCCACTGATTTCTGTGTGCTGATTTTCTATCCTGCATTTCTTTTTTTTTTAATGAACTTGTAACTTTATATTTTTTATTTTATATATTTTACATCATTTTTCATTTTTGCACAATGTATGCACTTTCATCTTGGATATAGGCCCCATACAATTCCCACCCTCCTTGCCTTAATCCTACTCCCTCCTCCCCCCTGTAGTGTGTCTTTGGTTTATAGTTGCTTGTTGATTTTGATGATGATTTACTTTATTATGATTAGTCTTTTACTGAACATGTCCATAAAATGTTTTTATTATCTTCTAAAACTGCAATGTTTGTTGTAACTTCTCTTTGAATTCTCATTATATTTCTTTGAGTTTTCTCATTTATTTTCTTAGTGAACCTAGCTAGAGGTTTGTCTACTGTGTTGTTTTGTTTTTTTGAAGAAGAGCTTTTTGTTTCATTGATCATTTTCCAGTCTTTTGTATTTCATTTTCATTTCCTTTCTTTTGCTGGCTTTTGGTTTTATTTGTCTTTTTTCTTGTTGCTTGAAGTGAGACAAAATGTTATTAATTTGAGCTCTTTCTTTTTTCTTGTTGTGGGCTTTCTTGTAATGCTTTGCAGTGTTTGATAAGTTCTAGAATGCTGTGCCCTTGCTGTCATTTTTCTTGATGTATTTTTTAATATCTTATTTAATTTCCTCTTACACACTTATAACACAGTTATTGCATTATTTTTTATTTAAAAAACTTGATTTTCCTCATGTTAATTAAATGACCACCAACTTTATTGCATTTGCCATCTCAATTCCCTTTTGTTCTGTAAGCTTACATATCCAATATTTCTCAAGATTTTGGATGTGGAGATAATTTGAGAGCTCTAATTCAGCCAGTACAGTCTTCTCATGAAGTGCATTATTGATGGCCCCAAACCCAGTAACAGGACACTGGTCCAGCATGGGGAGTGGGGAATTGTCAGAAAAATACCCAACAAAATTTGCATCAGGTAATAACAGCCCCAGACCTGCCATTAAGACACTGGCCCAACATGGCTATCAGGTAAAACCACAGTGACGTCCCTTCCTAGCTCCAGTGGCCCTTAGGCCCACTGGTAAGACATTGTCCCAGCATGGGTGTGGAGAAAGCCTTGGTGAAGTCTACATGAGGCACCAGCACCACATATTACACTGAAAATACCCCAACCAGTTCAGGAAGTCGATCAAGCTCCATGAAAGACCCACAAGGCACCAGCGGCCCTCACACAACTGGTTAGACATTGGCCTCCTGCAAGAGGCAGACCAAACTTAGCAGAAGTCCTACCCAAAGCAAAATGGCCCTAAAAGTAAATAATATGGAGACAAAGAAAACCCACAATAAGTGGTCAAATGATTCCTTGGGGGAATACACAAAAGAGAAAGAACAAATCTCTAGAACCCAATTACAAACACGTGGAAGATCTATCATTCTTACCAAATACATGGTTCAAACTTTCCATCAAAAAGAAATTTGAAGAAAACGGAGGAAATGCTGAGGGATACAATGATAGAAAGATATACAAGATAATTTATAAAAAACAAATGAAGGCCCTTAGAAACAAAAATCAATGATCAGAAGATCAAAATTGGAGTTCCAGGATGTAAAAAGATCAATAGAAAAGATAAAAAAATATTGGAGAAAACTATGGAAATAAACAGACATATTAGAAATTTGAATTATTGAACATGAACATGCACATGCATAAAAAAATCAAGGTAGAAGGAGAAAAAGGCAATGAAATTTATAAAAATGAAAAGACAGTGAGAAATATCAGACTCCATGAAGAAAGGTAATATAAGAATAATTAGTATCTTAGAGAAGCAAGAGTGAGAAAAGGAAACAGAGAACTTATTTAAAGAAAAAAAAAGGAGGGGATACTTCCTGAACATAGAGAAGGAACTAAATATATAAATTGATGAAATAAAAAATAACACCAGGATACCTAAACAAAATAAGACCTATACCAAGCATACTGTAATGAAAAATCCAGGAGTTCAACTGAAGGCAGAATATTGAAGTTGCAAGATGGGAGAAGCAGATAGTGTATAAAGAAGCCCCAGAAAGCATAATATCAGACTTTTCTGAAGAAACAATATGGGAAAAGAAAGATGGAATGACATGCTCCATAAACTTAGATATCTGCCAAATATAATCAATGCTGTAAAAAAAGAAAGAGTTCAAGTGAACGATTTTATGTGTCACCAATGACCTAGGAAAACCACATTCCAGCAAAAGAAAGGAAATAAAAACATTTAGACAGAGAAAAACTGAATAAAAGTCAAAAATAACCAGTCATAAAGATTTATGAAGCTAAAAGCTAGTACTTTTCTTTTTAATTGGAATACTCAGATTTATTAATATTCTTTTTTTTATAATAAATTTTATTTTTATATTCCCCATACAATTTCAACCACCCCATTTGGACCCCAATCCCTCCCCTCCCTCCACCCACCCCCCCAAAAGTGTCTCTGGTTCATAGATTTTTGTTGATTTTGATTTTAACTTTCTTATTGTTATTCATTTTCCTGGTCCCTTATTTAAGTTTTCTAGATTCCTGCTATGAGTGAGACCATCCGGTATTTTTCTTTTTCTTTCTGGCTTATTTCGCTGAGCATGATCCCTTCCAGCGCCATCCATGTTGCTGCAAATTGCATGTGTTTATCTTTTTTGAATGCTGAGTAATATTCCATGGTATATATATGTACCACATCTTCTTGATCCAGTCATCTATTTTTGGGCATTTGGGCTGTTTCCAAAGCTTAGCTATTGTAAACAGTGCTGCTATAAACATAGGGGTGCAGGTGTTCTTTGGAATTGATGTTTCTGTGTCCTTTGGGTAAATACCTAGGAGTGGAATTGCTGGATCATATGGAAACTCTATGTTTAGTAGGTCAAGAAATCTCCACACAGCTCTCCATAGTGGTTGGACCAGTTTGCACTCCCACCAACAGTGCAGAAGAGTTCCTTTTTCTCCACACCCTCGCCAACATTTGTTGTTGCTAGTTTTCTTTAATATGTGCCATTCGCACTGGTGTAAGATGATATCTCATGGTAGTTTTGATTTGCATTTCCATGATTACAAGTGATGTTGAACATTTTTTCATATGCCTGTTGGCCATTTGCATTTCCTCTTCAGAGAAGTTTTTTTTTTTTTTTTTTTAGCTCTTCTGCCCATTTTTTGACTGGATTATTTTCTTTGCTGTTGTTGAGTCTCATCAGCTCTTTGCAGATTTTTGTGATCAATCCTTTATCATTAGTGTTGTGTGCAAAAATGTTCTCCCAGTTGGTGGGGTTTCTCTTTGTTTTTGTTATTGTCTCTTTTGCTGTGCAGAAGCTCTTTAATTTGATGTAGTCCCAGCTGTTTATCTTTGCCTTCACTATCACTGCTTTGGGTGATGTGTCTGTAAAGATGTCTTTGATGTGCAAATCACGTAGTGTTTCACCTATATTTCCTTCTATGTATTTTATGGTTACAGGTTTTATGTCTAGTTCTTTAATCCATTTTGAGTTGGTTTTTGTGTATGGTGTGAGGTAGTAGTCAAGCTTCATTCTTTTGCATGTAGCGACCCAGTTTTCCCAACACCATTTATTGAACAGACTTTCTTTTCTCCAATGCATATTCTTTGCTCCTTTGTCAAAGATTAGTTGACCATAAATCTGTGGGTTTATTTCTGGATTTTCTATTCA